TAGATCATTTTTTTGGCAGAAAATTAAGTTTCTCAAAGTTTCACGACGATCGGATTAAAAATAAAAAATTTCAATATGACAAATTATCGACAAACATCATTTTTTTCCTGATTTTTGTAAAAATGTGAAAGACCTGTGCCGATTTTATAATGTTTTGACATTTGCCACTCGGTGACAACAACGCTCCCAAATAAGTAGATAAAGTTTACTAAACTCTGAATTCATATTTTCTCATATTTTTCAAATATTAATAATATATATTTTATTTTATTTCAATTTATTTCAATTTATAAATAACACTAATAAATTATTTTTGTTTATAAAAATTTACTGAAAAAGTGTTTTCGTGTAAATTATAATTACATCAATTGTGTACCAAACAATTAAAAAACAAGCCTTGTGGAAAGCACAATCGAATAACGATAGATGGCGACACACTGAAATCGCCATCAGATAAATGTACGCATGATAAACCCAAATGTCATGTATATAAACTCGCTGAACTTGAAAACTATTCAAATAATACGTGAATTTTGCTTTTAATTTCTTTTTACTTTTTTATTTATTAAATCATTTAACGAAATTTATATATATTGAAAGTATAAATGAACGACATGAAAATGAAACTTTTTGTTTCGTTTTTTAAAAAAAGAAGAAAACATGCTTAAATGCAAGGTGTGAAAATGTGAAAAAATATTTATGGAAGTTTGTTAAGGCACCAAGTGCACACACAGTCATTGTTGTCGTCCGTGGGGAAACCTTGATCACAGATAATGCATCGTTTGTAAATCAATCGATGAATAGATCCACGACGTCGCAAAGTCCAAGCCGGGAATCCGGTCATATTGTCATTTCTACCACCCGCCTCTGCGTCACCATGATTTTCTTCTTCACCATTGCCCTGTCCAACGTTACCACGATCCTCACCTTCACCATCGTTCTGCCCATTGTTACCATTTTGAACATCAACTTCTTCAGCTGGTGCAGCCACTTCATTACCTTCTTGTGCCGTCGAATTTACCTCGATGCCTTCATTACTGGCTTGACCATTGTCGTTCATCGCTACATTATTTTCGTTTTGCGCTGGCTGCGGAACATTGTACGGCATTGTGCTGCGGAATTGTATTCGGCGCTTGCAATTGGGGCAAAATGGACCACGGGTATCGCGATTATTTCCATATCGACTGTATTTTAAATGATTTCCCAAAATGCAATTAATTATTTCCACTTTATACAGATTTTAGTTTAAATACTTACCCAATCAACCAAGGACGAATACATGTGTGGTGGAAAATGTGCCCACAAGGAGTAATTCGAACATCACGGCCGTCGACATCAACTGATATTAATTCCAGACAAATTGTGCACAAATCGTCAGCCATCGCACTTAAATATACGTACACTTCCTATCTTTATCTTGTATATATTTTTTCTAATATTTTTATACTTAAATTCCACTCAATTTTCCAGTTTTAGGTATTTGTTGCAAATAAGTACTATCGATCAACGAGATAGACTGTTCAACTATTAACCATGAACTGTCATAATGCATACAGCATTTGTCAACGACATAAACTGTAAATCGCGCGCCTTTATTCTTTCTACTTTTGTGACAGCTCCGGTTCAAATATCATTTGCATGGCAAAATTTGGCGCCGAAACAGCACATCATCATGGATAGAAGTAAGTACATTTCATATCTTTTGTTAGTTACAACAAAGTAATGTTTAAATAAATTGTTAGTAATCAAATTTATGATAATTTTAGCCCATCGATCTACCGTTTACTACAGCAATTTGAAGAAAATGTGGAAGGAAATTTTAAATCTCGGCAATATTGATTGTGTGGTACGTTTGGACGTTCTGACGGATGAACAAATTGCTCATTTGTGTCGACCAAATCGAATTGGAAAACCACCCCGAAACAAGCGACTTAATTTGCTACAAAATGAGCCAACTGGACAAATTGCACAACAAAGTCAAAACGAAATCGCAGATGATCATCAAATGGCAATGAATGCAGATTCAACAAATATTGTGGTTCCGCAACCTGCTGCGTTTATCGAAATTGAAACTGGTGAAGGTAAACTGCTGACAATGTCTAAAGATTTCATCAAAACTTATGATCTTTTTCGATTTACAATTCATTTCAGATGATTTGCGTGCCCAGCAAATAAAAGACGAACACAACTATAGCAAACGTCGCTGAAAGAAAATAAACATTGCAACTATGTATACACTCGAAATAAAAATAAATCAAATGAGTTGAATTTTTGTGTGTATCACTTCATTATTTTCAGTTGGTGTTCGGCTTTAAAACAAAGTTGGCATTGAACAGCACAGATTTAGTGAGTACTTAACCTTTGAGATTAAACAGTCATTGTGATGCACTGAAATGGAATTGAATGGTAAAGTTTTTTATATTTTAATGAAATTGAAGAATTAATATATTTCTTATCGATTCAAATCAAAATTTATAATGGTGAACATTTTATTACAATAATTGAACTGATGTAAAATATGTTTAAGTTCATGGTAATTCGTGCGTCATTTATTGAACGTAAATATATTCAGCGCTGGAATATTGAAAAAAATTATTCATTGTGTTTGCAGAAAAAATTGAATGAATATAATATTGTTTTTGATTTTAGATAAAATCATTGTTGATATCAAACGGACTAGCATCAGATCTGATTGTTGCGCTTATCCATCATGCAATCAGAAACAGCGCCTGAAGAATATTCCACTTAATGTTCGTTATAGTATTGCAATTAGTTTGAAGATCTATGTGCATCGTTATGCACGCGCTTGCATTCGTCACATTGATTTCGGCTCATGGATTAATGTCGCCAACGATTTTCACCCGTATCATGAATTACGATTATTCTCTGCAACTCAAATCACAGACATGTTTGATTTATTGACCAACACAAAATTGAATGATTCAAAAACAGCTGTACTACGTAAGATTGAGTATTTTAAAAAAGAGAATTTCATTATGTTTCTACGGGGCTAACCAAAATATTTTAAACTTAATTCTCTGTTAGGATTATGAAAAGTCATTTTTTTATTAATTGTCTTTTTGGGAATTTTTTTAATTAAAAATTTTGATTCGCCCTTGAAATTATTATTGAAACCTCACAATATATGTTTTGTGTCAATCAGGAAACAGCAACAAAACCATCAAAATGAGAACTGGTCTTAACATGTCAGACTTCCACAAATTATTATCAGATGTGCCCGCATTAGAAATATACTTCCGAAGTGCAAACAAAGCAAGTGATGCTCTCTTCATGTTTCTAATGAAATTGCGCACCGGTACCAGTAATGAAAGTATAGCGGATTACTTTAACATTGCACGAAGCACATTGGAAAAACGGATAAAGATTGTACGAGAGATATTGATGAGAGATTTTGTACCGTACAACATTAATTACTTCCGCTCTCGAGAAGACCTTCAATCACATTGCTCAACACTGAGCAAAAGACTTTTTTGTGGGAACAACGAAAATGCTGTTTCCTTAATATGGGATGGTACATATATCTACATTGAAAAAAGTCATGCACATCAGTTTCAAAAGGACAGTTACTCTTCCCATAAGAAACGAAACTATTTGAAGCCGATGATGGTTGTTGCTACAGACGGTACAATTATCGCTGTTGTGGGCCCCTTTAAAGCATCTGATAATGATGCAAGCATTGCAAAACAAATTTTGGAAAGAGGTCATCCCGCACTTGGAAGCTTGCAAACGGGAGACGTTGTAATCCTTGATCGAGGCTTTCGATATTGTGTCAATGAATTCCAGAGCCGAGGCTTCATTGTCAAGACACCAGCATGTGAACCAGTTGGCAAACAGCTTACAACAGATCAAGCAAATCGTTCGCGTTTCGTAACCAAAATACGATATGATGTAGAACGCATCAACGGAATGATAAAGGGTGTTTTTCGAATTTTTAGCATTGTGTGGGAGAGTCTCTGGGTGCCATATTTGATGAATGACTTGGAAATAGCAGCTGGTTTGCTCAATAAATACATAATAAAGCCTAATGAGAATCACACGAAATCAACAGAAACGGCTACAGCAATGTTACAGCGATTACCACTTGAAAATGAGCTGGGAAAAGTGATGAATAAAAAAAGTTTTAAAAATCATTTGACAAAAAAAGAATATACTGATCTAGAAGCATTGGATATTTTCCCAGTATTGAGCCTAGATGATCTCCAAAACATTGCATTTGGAAATTATCAAATAGAACAGGCCAAACTTTATGGATGGGATTACATGCAGGCAAACAACAACGTTTTTCGAGTTAAATACTTCTCGGACGAAATCATTGAAAAACATTTTTTATCTCACATCAATGACGATACTGATCCAGCTTTGATTTTTATTAATTTATGCTCTCGCTTTGCATCTGGAACAGTTTGGCGTCCGTTTGTTCTGTTCAATAGATTGAAAATGGGTAAAGATGCTGTAATCAGCTATTGCTGTAATTGCAAAGTTGGGCTTAGAACGGTCGGATGCTGTTCACATGTCATGACAATCCTCTACTTCCTTGGATTTGCACAACACAATGGTGGAATTCGCGAAAAAGCAGCTCATCTAAAGAACATTTTTTATTAGTTTTTTAAGTATTTTAGTTTGTTTGAATTTAATGAATTCTTTTTATTTATTTATTTGTTGACTCTCTTTCTCAATGTGATTAATAAACATTCAAATAACACAAATCTATGCCGCATGTGTAGAATATTTAAGAACTGTTTTTGTTGAATATTTCATATTTCCATAATTAAATGCTTCTGTGGATGAATTGATAAACTACCAAAATTATTTATTTCAAATTAGTCAAATATAAACGATTTAAAGTTTTTATTTCAAACAAAAACAATGAGTTTGACAAGTTGTCAAATTTGGAATATGACATTCCCAAAGTATGTGTTGCCATCTATTACTAAACTGAACCACATTGAACATAACATATTATGAAAGCACTGAACAAATAATACTTCGACGATAATGAATAATAATATTTAATGTGCATATATTGATCAAAATTGTGTCAAAATAAAATTTAATAATAATGTAAAATGTTTTTAGATAATTTTTTTTATTGAATATTAATTTTTCATTAAAACATTGATTTTCATTTTTTGTTGTGCCTGTTCATATAAATTCGACTTCTGTGCTTTCATGGCGCTGTTATTAATAGAAAGGATGACATTATAAATTTATACTGCTAATCGGCACAGGTCTTTGAGCTATGTTCATTTATCGACCAATTGTCATGAAATTTTGTCTAGATCATTTTTTTGGCAGAAAATTAAGTTTCCCAAAGTTTCACGACGATCGGATTAAAAATAAAAAATTTCAATATGACAAAGTATCGACAAATGTCATTTTTTTCCTGATTTTTGTAAAAATGTGAAATTTGAGCTATGTTCATTTATCGACTAATTGTCATGAAATTTTGTCTAGATCATTTTTTTGGCAGAAAATTAAGTTTCCTAAAGTTTCACGACGATCGGATTAAAAATAAAAATTTTAAATATTTATTTAGATCTAAGTATTCGCTTTGAAAAATTTCATTGATTTTCGACTTTTAGTATGAAAATCGAAAATTTGACATTTCTGTTCCAAGAAGTGTGTCACAAATTCAAATGATGACATTTTTGGGAATTACAAATTGGTCACTAAATCTGTGTCGAAGAATTTTTATGATTAAAGTTGTTTTTATTGAAAGCCTTTTCGTAATTTCGATAATAATTCTTTTTTGCGCAATTTTCACTTTTTTGTTCAAAAAATGTCCGCCAGATCTCGTATCGAAATTTTCAAAATATTTTTGGAAATCACAAATTAATCACTAAAATATTGCATCATTAGTTTTTTGAAATTTTGTTTTATTTCGAATTTTTCAAAATTTCATTTATAGACTTTTTGATGAATAGGCTTTTTCAAATTTAGGCCTGTAACTTTTTTTCTGGAGCGTCACAAATTCTTAAAATTGCGTCACAAATTTTCACCAATTAATCACTAAAATTGTGTGAAGTTTGAGCCCAATCGGGTACTTTGACCCCCTAGGTAGTGTGCGCCAAATTTGTGTTATCATTGTTGGTAGAAGTGTTGAAAATGCGATGTAGCAATATGTGTAATATTGACAAGGTCAAATATATTTAAAAGTGACATTAAAAAAACATTGTAAATACACCCATTTCAGTGGTTAAATAGTACGTAGACATCAATAAAGAAAATTGCATCAATTGAAGAATTGATTCCATTGAAAACACACACAAAAAGAGCGATAAGCGCAAACCAGTAATTGATTGAAAGATCCATGAAAATGCGTGAAAATGGGTATGCCATGACGAGGGAGGTCGAAAAAAAGTGAAGCGCTCGCATTTTTTCGTTTCAAAGGAAAATTATATATATGGAAAATTAGATGTTATACATTACATTATACATATGTGTAAGTATATTTTTATGGATTATTTTTTCATCATAAAATCACTGACTCAAAAGCGACGCAAGCAAATATATATGATACGAGACAATACCTGCCTGAATTCGTGTCATGTATGTTTTTGGCAATGCCTTCTGGAGTTAGATGTGTAAGTGTCAAATATTTGTGCCAGCTATTTATACGAAATAAACTTTTTTGAATTCCAATTTGAAAACGATGTGATCGAATGGCTGATAGCTCAGGCAAACTGCACACATCGTCTTGATTCGTTTTCTTCTTCATCGAGTTTATTGCCATTTATCGAAGTTGACATTTCATCTTTATTGAGAAAAGCGAGAAAGAAAAAAAAAACTTAGACACCCTAAGATAGAACAAAAAAATGCTTGAATATGAGAAAAGAAAAAAAAAATTTACGCGTACATGCAAACAATAATGGCAACATCATTTTTGATGTCTTGTAACTTTATGATTTTAACAAGTCGTAAAAACATACCATTTGATGATCACAGTGACGCGCGCTCAGGTGCTAAAATATAATATGAACCGAACAAACAAAATTAATACATAAGGGAACACATTATGGAAAATGTATTGATGAGCACATTTCGATTCTCTTTTTGTCACTTAATTCAATCGAATGCTTACTTTCATTCCTTCGTTATCATTGGGGCACTGCCGTTGTTTGGAACTGCCAACCAACAAAGTGCTTAAACGGTTATTTGAGGCTCACATCGAATTCGTTTTAATGAAAATTACAAAAAAAAGTAACGGAGGCGGGAAA